CAATGCTTCCTTCCAGTAGTCCACCAGCCAGGACTGTAAGGAAGCCTGCAATATCTTTCTAACACAGGCAGCTTTATTTTCTTGTTTAAATACTTTGTCTTTATACACTACATTGCATGTAATTCTCACAGCCTCTATTAAAATCTGTCAAGAATTTCTAGCCAGCAACTTGGAAACCTTACACACATATTCAAGGTCCTGCTATTTAAAAGAATAATTGACTTTTTCTACTGGATTTAGGCTTTTGTATGAACAGTTCTTGCAGATTTACCTTAGAGTGAGTTTTTGTTAAACAGTCTAAATGACTGTGCTCACATGATGATGCAAGGCTTCATGTACCAAAATATTGATTTGTCTCCTCCTTGATCTAGAAAGATTGCTTTGGAACATAATGGTAATTCCTCTGCTCTGGACCTTGGTTTCTCTTTTCAGATTGCATCCAAACAGCCAACATTGGTGATTTTAAGTTGTTGTTTGTTTTTTTTTTTTTTAATGAAGACAGTTATACAGTTTTGTTAATGTTTGTTTTTCAGCTCTGTGTCTCTTTCAGGAATAACCAGAATTAGGCACTCCTGTTTATTCTGCTATCCAAATATTGATTGAAAGGAGCTGGTAAAACAGTCCCAAATCTGTCCACTTGTGGGCTGTTTAGTAATCATTCAAACACATGCAGTTGAGTAATTAAGTCATACAATACAGCTTTTCCTTGCAAGTCTTAAACTTGGACCAGTAAACACTGCAAACCTCTTCTACCTTACATCACTAGACAGTTTGAAGTGCTTTTGCAACCCAGCTGATGAGCCAGCAGCAAACCCCTTCTCCCTACCTGAGCAGACAGCAGAGCTACACTTGCCAAGCCCTTAATCTGTGCTGGCATGTCAAAGACATTCCCTGTCATATGTGATGGCCCTGATGCACAAAGCACAGGGCAGTGTCCCAAACGTAATCTTTCCTACTTACCATTTCATGGCCACCCATCAGGAAATTCAATTTGTCTGCTCTTCTTTAATACCAGCTCATTACATCTCTTTTCCATTGTTTTCATAAGGATAGCAATGTATTTAGATGTGTTATCCTCCAAGGAATACCAAAAGATCTTTCTTTTACATGTAAACTGATTGCACAATCTGCTGTATTTTAACTCTCTCTATTTCTGTAGATTAACTTCCAGTTAATCTGAGTTTGTTGTTTCTAACGACTTACGGCTGAAAAAGATTATTTTCCTGGAACTTCAGCTGACATATTTTGCAGTTGCAAGGCAAATTTAGGGAAGGCCTGAGGGATCACAGGCAGCCTTCATTATTGGTGCATGACCGCTTTGTAGCCAACTGCATCTTTAATATCCGGGGAGATTTGTGCACTGCAGTTTGTTTTCTTTCTTCTTGTTTTTAATAATTTACCTTTGAGAGTCTATTTACAACCATGTCGATGTGTGAATATGTTTGTCTGTCAAAACTTAAGATATGTACAGAATGCAAGAGTTGCATTAATTTTTTATTTGCTTCTTAAGGAAGCCAAGCTGTAAACTGGCAGTCCTGAGTGCAAGAGCTGTACTTCAGTGAATCCTAATAAACACAAGGGGGAACATCAAACTATGTGCCTCTTCAACTAACTCATTTAAAAAGAGATAATATTCCTTGCTGAATCTATTTTTCTGCTAGGAGAGACAATAATTTGGTTTTGTTTTTATTATAACAAAACAAACCCACAATCAAACTTTCTTTAACTTTTAATTTGCTATTGAATTAGCAAAACTGCATGGCCTTCTGCACCAACCAAGAAAACAGAGGGTTGTGAACAGCACATCAAAAAAAGGAGTTGTATACATTTAAATATTTCTATCTGTTGAGATTCACTTGAAAATTATTTTTTGCATACACTTACATGTTTTGAAAAGACAGTATCTGGATAAATGCTTTTCAAATGTTTTCCAAAGCTGTTGGGAGGGCTTTTATTCTTACCCATGGATGGTCTCTTGCTCTGTGACATTTGTCTGATTTGTAACTGCTAGATTGGTTTAGTTTTATCCTTTAATTAGGGAATAAATCTAGTTGTGTAGTAAGTACCTATGAACACTAGTAAGTACTTTGTCACTGTTGAGCTACATTGCAGTAACAAAACTGCTGATTTTTTTCCCATCTTTTAAAAGCAATGTGGGTTACAGAGCTATTTTTTTCGGTATTCAAACTGATCTCTATCTTTTGAGGTAATTTAGCCTACAAACCTACACAAAAAGGGTACCACTGACATTTGATACTGAAAAAATAATCTGATAATGGCAATGTTCTATATTAAAAGAAATCCACTGAAACTCAGGAGTTTGGAAGAGAAAAGGTATAGAGGAGTAAAAAACCATGCCAAAAGAAAAACAGGTGAAAGCATGAGATGATGTCCAGATCTCTTTTGACTTTACTTAATGCTTAACTTCAGATTGGTGGGGCCCAAATAACACTGTTGTGAGGCAGGTGCAGGATGATGTCCCATTTGTATTAAATATTGTTTGACTTATCCAGTCCTGAGGTCTAAAGAAAGAGGAAATACTTAATAATAAAGTATTCAAAGCCACATGAGAGAGAAAAATAACCCTTTGCAGTGAAACTGTAGAAAATCAAACTTAAAGGATTGGTGGTATAATCCAGGCAGAGCAAATGCTGTAGAAACCACTCTACATATGAGTCAAAATTCTCTTCACATTTATTTACAGTCATCTTCAATCAACTTTGAGAAGTTATGATCAAATCTGTTAGCAATATTAATTCAGATATAAAGTATGTTTATAAATATAGATGAATATAGATTTTATTTTGCTTTCAGCACATAACTTGAAAACCAGTGGGAGTATGTTTTTGCCAATTATTTTTTTCCAGCTTTCGGTACAGTAGTAAATGATGTAAGAAATAAGCAATGGTCAAGAGTCCAACTGCTTGGTGGAGAGTAATAACAAACAAGTACATTCCAGGTGGTAGATGGGTGTATGTAGATAAAGATAAGCACTCTCACACAGAGTTATCAGTATGTTGTTATCTTACTATTCTTCAAGATTGAACCTTTATTTTGAATAACTTTTTTTTTTAATCATCCTTGGTATCCGTTGTATTTTATGAACTGCAGTCTGAATTTCCACAGAATCTCCCTTCAGCTGGAACTTGTACAGCCTGGCTCAGAGTGAATTTCCAGATACAATAACTTTAGAGCTTGTTGAGTTCAGCCTGCTGTAGTCTTCCTGTTAAAAAATGTGACAGAATCTATGATCTAATCATAGTCTGTCAATGGCTAGTGGGCTACTAGTGCAGCCATGACATTTCATATTTGCTTTCTCTCATAAGATTGTGGGCATTTACTTCTATTACAGCCTGTGCAGTTGCAGTAAAATGAAATCTCTGTCAAGTGTGATTGAATGTCCAGAGACAGAATGTCCAAAATCAAAAGGGATAAAACATTGATTTTGCCCTTTAATTCTCTTTTCTCTTTTCTGAAAGAAAAGGTGTTTCTCAATGCAGTTGGTTCTCTCATAGTGCAGTGAATGCAGTTCTTAGTCCAGTTTTAAAGCTGGGCCACGAGTACCATCACTGCTAACTGTAGTACCAGCATCTTTAGAACAGTGTCAGCTGTGAAAGAAGGGGTGAAATGTAGGATTTTACCTCAGTAAACTCTAGAAATGGCATATGCACACTAAAACATGGTGTCCCTTGCTTGAATGAATATTCTTTATTTGGAAGCATTTGGGAGTCTTGGATTACCAAGTGCTGATATAATTTGTATGTCATAACATGTAAAGGTGCTTTAGGTAGGACTGATGATTGATGTCGCTGTCCATCATTTCTTCCTGGCGTGTGCACAGTAAGGTGAAAGTTTAGGTTGGATATTAGGAAAAATTTCTTCACTGAAAGGGTGGTCAGGCATTGGAACAGGTTGTCCAGGTAAGTGGTGGAATCACCATCCCTGGAAGTGTTCAGAAAACATGCAGATGTGGCACTTGAGGACATGATTTAGTGGTGAGTGGGACAGTGCTGATTTAAGAGTTGGACTAATGATCTTAGAGGTCTTTTCAAACCTAAATGATTCTGTTTCATTTATAAATACTTGAAATGTCATTTCTGAAGACTGAGTAGAACTATGTAATTAATGCCTGCCCCAAACTTAAGGAAACTTTATTTGTGAAATAATAAATTATATATTGTCTTGGATATTTACAAAAACATCCCCAAGGAAATCATCTTCATTGTTTGTGTTTGGGATCATATATGTTTTTTATGGTTTTTAGAGCATGATCACATTGTGTAGGAAACAAAGCAAACATTGACCTCCTTTGGAAAAGGAGGATATTTTCCAGACCAGATGCAGGCAAGATCATGGGAAGTAGTTGGTTGCTTTCTGGTTTTTGGTTTTGGTGGGGTTTTTTTTCAATCTAGCAACATTATACATTGTAGTTTATAATTTTCTAGTTTGTATAACCTTTTGACTCAGAGACTTTAGAGTTGTAATCTACAAATTCAACTGTTTTCCATTTCTTTGGGTGTGTTTTATATGTTTAAGTGATCCAGACTGGCTATTTAAACAAAAGTTTTTGATGAATTCTAACTTAAATTCTAGCAACTGAGTCTCAGTTACTTGTAATTGAAGTACAATACAGTGGAAACTTGGCTTAATCCCTACTCATCCCTCCTAGCATCAGGATACAGGTTTAAGCTAGACTTCCAACCTTCATAGGAAAAAAGTACAGACATGCTGGTGCTGAAAAACTTGAAATTTTTTCATTCACCATGATGCAAAGCTATTTCAATATTCTTTTTTTCTGATTAATAATGCTAAAGTGTACAGATAATATGGTACCTCAAAGATTTCTGAAGATGCTTGAAGTATTGGGTTGCCAGTCCCTGTTTTTTTCCCCTCGTTGGATGTAAATACATCCAATAAATAGCACAGTAAATCTGTGCTAACAAGGTTATTTTTATTTTCCTCAGTATATATATGCTCATGTTCATTTTATCCTAATGCAGGAGGCATTAAAAGAGAACAACAAAAGAAGAGAATTGGAGGAGAAAACAAAGAGAGCCAAACTGGCAAAGGAGAAGGCTGAGCGAGAGAGGCTGGAGAGACAGAAGAAGAAGCAGCAGTTGATTGATATGAACAAAGGTGAGGCATCCTTTTTAACAGGGAGGTTTGTTAAAAGAAAAACGAAGTCAGCAGTAACAAACCGAAGGCTCTTTCTGATCAATGTGAGAAATGCTTGCTGAAAGTTTGGAAAGCTGAAAAAAGGTTAATTTTTTCAAAATTGAAAATTCTGTTTTGTTTCAGCCTACCTGATCCTGTAATTCCATATCTGTCACTTATTATGTGTCACGTTCCTTTCAAGGTGTTTTGTTGTGAGTTATTGGCTTTTTTTCATTTGTAGCAGATAATTGACTTTCTTTTTTCATATGGGTTTACTTCCAAGAAGGAGGATCTTACTGCTTTGTTGTTCATTTCATTCTGTAAACAACTCTGTAATCAAGGTATTGTGGCAACTAATGTCTTTCTTTTTGGGCTTGGGGGCTCTGTGTTATAATGAATGTTCTCCCAATAGTCCTATTAGGAGCTGGAAAATCTGGTTGAGCTTAGAGTCTAAGTTCAGAGTGACATTTCAGCATGATAAAAAGCAATGTGTTTAAACTTGTCAGCTGTGAGAATATTGTATTTCGCATGGGGCCACCCTAAGAGAGGAGAAAGTGAAAAAGAAGGAATGGAATGGGCTTGATATTGATGTTGTGCATATTTCCAGAAGGTTGTAGAACACAGGCTTTGGTTTTTACCTGTCTGACTCTACAAGGCAAGTAGAGGTGGCAAAACTTGCATTTGTGCGAGAGATTCCTTGCAGTTTTTTGTTCAGTTTCTGTGAGTTTGCTAATCTGACCCAGCTGTAAAACACTTATCTTTATTATTCACTTAACGTGCCCATACTCATGGAAAAATGCTGTTTGGTTTTTGGAGGGTTTCTGCAATGGCACCACTAATCCTGTTATTTTTGGCCTTGCTTGAACTGACAGTGGCACTGCATGGAATATACTTCGGGATAAGTTTTAGTGAATTACTCTGTTGCTTTGTATAGGTGACAAACTTTAATATCAGAGCATATAAAGATTAGTCCAGTTTCAGTTTAACTATAAAGAAAATATAAAATTTAAATGCACATTGTCTTTTTTTTAAACACATTGTCTTTTTTTTTTTGTGAAGTCAAGTCTGTGGAGATTTCTAATGAGACTTTTCTAATGCATTCTATGGGCATTTGACTAATCTTTAATATCTCTCACCTCACCCACTGGAAAAAAAGTCCATAGTAATATGGACAGGCCCTTTTCTGTGAGTGGGAAAGAACCACCTAAATGTCCCCTCATCACCCTTCCCTCTGCCAGTGTGCTTCAAGCTACAGTGAGAGAGGCTATTTAAACTACCACTTAAGACAATGTGAGCCAATATGTTTTATTAGCTGTTACAAAGTGTGAAAAGCTCACTTAGATTCTGTTGTCAGTGAACTGGTCTGTGTTTAAGGGCTGTAGCTCTCCCTTTGAAATTACAACTTGTTTAATTGCCTTAGCCCAGTAGATTAGAACATACGTGTCTCCATCCCTTAACTTTTTAAGCAGGTGAGGAGCAGACCACAGCTGACAGTGGCACAGATACCTCAGTACACTTGATAGCATTTTTTCATCATGAAAGACTTTTCTTATCAACAGATAAAACTAAAGTTTAGTTTTGCATTGTAGCCTCTTTCACTGAAAATGCAAATATGTGAATAACTGTACAAGGCCCAGTGCACCAAAACTGCCATTTAAATGAGTGGTTTCTAAACCTGGGACACCAAATTAGTAAATTAGTTTAATATTTCTAAATTTTTTTTACACTTTCTAAATATATTGAATTATCCATTTCACATCTTACAACTCTAGTGCCATGGTAGTAGGAGGGAGATATGTCCATCCCCACTGGATTCTATGACATTGATATTCAACTGACTTTTTTGCCAAGTAACTAATTTTTTTCTTAATGCATCTTCTTCTGTGTGCTCATTCCTCCTTATATAAATAGTTTGTAAATTTGTCTAAGTGAATGTGACACAGAAGACTTAGAGGAAGGAGGCAGATGTCCTCTCAAGCTGTCATTTTGACAAGGTGATTTTCACCCAAAGGGATGTTTTAACCTAACCCTCTTTCAGCTATTTCTCTAGCTGTGTCTTCAAGAATAACATTTTAACATATTGCTACAGCCTTTGAGGTCAGAGCATTAGGGTTCCTACATTTTCCAACCTTTTAGTGTGTAGTTCTGTAATAAGTTTTTGTGGTTTTTTTGTTACCTGGCCATTCAGTGACAACTTATTTTGAGGCCACTGGATAATCCAGATTCGATTAGATTAGTTATAATTAAATGTTAGAATTAATACCAGTTTCTTGATGTAACTGCAAGAAATTCAGTGTGACCAGAATCAAGAATTGCCCTGAATAATAGCCAGTGATGAAGTAATCTCAGAGCTGCCACCATTTTGAAGACTGGTTTACTTAATTTGGTGGTTTTGTGCTTTGTATAACTGAGATGCCGCATAAATACTACATGTAAACTGATAAGTATTCCAAAATATGTAAAGATTAATGTAAAAATCTTGAAAAACTCTGTAAAAAACACAGTTCAGAAAAGTTATCAAAATTGTCAGCATTAGGTGAGTTTCGCCAAGAAGTAAATTGTTAAATTTTAAATTATTTATTTATATATATATAACATTTGGTGTTCTTTTCAGTCTGCTTTTATTGACACATCTTTGTTATATTTCCCAGACTAGTAAAGTATTTCTGTGTGCCAGGATTCCTGGTGAAGTATTGGAGGCATAGAAAGATTTAAGTTCCTTACCCACACTCCTTAAGTTTCACAGTTCAAATCAAGAACTATTCTTTCTCATTGTGGGAGATGAATTCTGAGGAAAAGTCCTTTATGACTTCTGCCTGATTAAACATCTGCAAAATCCTTGCAGCATTGCTTCCCTGTGCATATCTGAACCACAGAGAGAAAAGAAGAACGGGGGAGAGCTTTCTGGGAGCTGAAAAGTGTCAAACAGCAATTCTGATGCAAATGTTATTTAATCAGAAACAGTTTTGCTCTTCATTATATCTGATTACTATGCCAATTAAAATCACCTTTTAACTACCAGTATTAGGATAAAAGATAGAATGAGCTTCCTCAGTCCCAATTAGTATTGAATTAATTGTTTTGAAGACATATTAACATTCTTTCCTAATGAGATGAAGATAATGGAAGTGAAGTTCTGTGCTAGTGGTTGATGGATATTCCTACTCTCCCTTTTCAAGTGCCCTTATATAAGAATTCATATGCTATTTATTCAGACTGGTATGTTCTAGTATGAGCAGTAATTCTGCTGGTTTTCCTTCAAGTGTTGTTCCACTTGAACTGAGTGGTGCAGGATATAATTCCAGAGATTACTTTTGCTACACTTTCCTAATGATTCTGTGCTTTTCTGGTTGGTTTGTTTTCCTTCCAAGTCCTTTAGCACAAACAGAAATCCATACTAAGTTTATTATGAGTTACATAACATTTTGCAAGTGTCTCAGCCTTGATCATTTGGATTTACATATTGGCTGGTGATTGCATGGGGTACCTGGTGTGGTACAACCTGGGGCTTATGTACCTTTTAAAGATTATTAGTTTATGGAGCTGGATGTCAATGAGGCAAGTGTTACAATTCCTTTGGGGAAGTCATTGTTTTTCATATTGATGTCAATGGTCTGTTTGAATTCACTGCACACTTCCTGAAAGCTAATGCTGACAGAAGACCTTGGGTGGAACTTGATTACAGGTATTGTACCTTGTCCTTAGGTATCATATGGCCATTTTTCTTTCCCTTTTTTTTTTTTTTTTTTTGAGCTGCACGATCTTTCCCTTCCCACATAGAGGCAATCTCTTCCCATTTGTTCCTCAGTAATGCATGTTGCAGCCTATTTTAAGTGTAGTGCATGTCATCCTTGTGAGGGGCAGCAGCCTGGGCAGGATGAGGCCCCAGGGACGATGCGGAGGAGTTTCAATTAAGCCCGTTCCTGCCAAAGCAGACCTTGACCACCCTGATATTTTCTGAAAATGAAAAGGTGTATGCATTTCAAAAATTGTTTTCAATAACCTGCCAGTGCAACAAAGTACGTTTTTTTTTTTCCTTCTATTAACTTCATGTAAGCCTGAGATCAGGTTATCATAAACAATATGCTTAATTGGTCCATAAGCAAGGATTTGCCTTGTTTTTGCAAACTGACGTGAGACAGAGGTTCACTTATCAGTCATCCTGTCCTAACTTCTTCTTCTTTAATTAAGAAGTAAATAAGAGTCATGAGACACCACTCTAGTGCAAACTGCTGAGGAAGACTGCTTCCTGGAGATATTTATTATGCATGCAAAATGAATTTAACAAATGAATAAAATGCAAATAGATGAGGCGAACACAAAAACACGCTTTCTGGAAAGGCACTGAAAGCTGACCTTTTTAAGTGAATATATTGCAATTAAAAATTCTGGTGCTGGTTATGAATAAAAAGTCTTGTTTAAAAGTTTCTGCAGGACACACACTGGACTTTGAAAAGTGCTTAAAAGTTTAAAGCAAAACAGGGTAGTGCAAGGTGTGAATAGATTTGAAACCCTTTGGAGAAACAGGCAGACAGTGCGTGTTACTTAAAATGGTGTTTGACTGGACTCTTTCAGTAAAGGCACAAGTTTATGAAAAATATCCTGTAAAGTTCCTGTAAACTTTTGATGAAATAGCTGTGCAATACTGACACTGTCTATTAACTTAGATTAGTTTGCAATTAGTGTATCTGTAATAATGAGTAGATGATGTTTTGCAAGTGCATATGGAAAATACTAGAAAATAAAAGTGCACCAACAAAATATGTGGGTATTCCTGTAGTAATCAGTGCAGACAATAAAAAGGGAGGGCAGCAAAGCAGTCCAGAAACAAGAGCATGTTGCCAGGGCCTGACATAGCTGGGAATCTGCACTGAGGAAACCAAATATCTAGGAGATGGATGATTTTTTGGATGCATGGGCTGAGCTCTGTGGCTTCAAGTGAAGTACCATTTCTGTAGTTCTAAGTTATTCAAGTAACTTAA